TCAGCCCGACCGGTGCTTCGGGATGGAAGTCATGCACCTCAACGGGGACTTTCGAAACAAGCTCTGGCGGGCGCGGGTCCGGATCGCACAGCGCGCGAAACTTTCGTCAGCGCAACGTCGCCGCAGTTAACGCACCTCGGCCTCGACACTTGGCGCCACCGGATGTTACATCGTCTGGGTTTCTCCTTCTGGCTGGGCCCAAATTTGCCTTGAGTTGAGCGATACGGACGATACCCCCGGATGAGTTGAAGCCACATATGTCATCATATGTCCTTGCCAAACCATCCCCGTCGATCCTACAGCACGTGTATGGTTTTCGGTTTTGGGATTCAAACTTGTGCGTACAATGGCTTATATACAACCAATCCAACCGATTCTTGCTTTTGCTGAAAGCTCTGGCATGGTCATTTTCATGCTGTTGTTTCTGCTATATACTGCGACTTTGCTTGACCCTCCGCATTCTACCGAGAGCCCTACACCCCAAAAGCCCTCGAAGAGCACAACGCGCACACCAACAGCAAGTTGCAGAAGTGCTTCCCTGCAGTGTCTGCAGTCGCCAAATCAGAAAAAAGGAACGTGGATGATGATGATGATGATGATGATGACGATGACTGTGCTCAACACTTCGCCGCTATTCACATGCGGGTTTGCCACAGAGCCCTGCGCGCTCACCATGGACTTCCGCCGGAGGTCGCGGAGCGATGCCGGCTACTAGTGCTGTGGCCACCTCGGAGCCGGTGGCATCCAAAGCGCACGCGGTCTCGGGTTCCACGGCATGCAGGTTGAAATCTGGCGAAACCTGTGGGAATTTGGAATGGATTGGAAGTTTTGGGTCGGGCCCAAGGATCTTTCTGAATTTGCGATGGTTTCACATGGTTTCACCGTCCCAGGCATGGTGCGGAACGTGGGTGGCTGGTGACTTCTGCATGGCTTCGCAGGAGACGGTGCTTGTGGGGGGGGGGGGGGCAGCTTGCAGCCTGAAGCACGGAGCTTGCTCTGAACTTGGCGGCATATGGCTGCTCTCAAACCCAACTCTCGAGAAATGCTTTGCCACTGCTTGCCCAGCCTGCAGCTGAAATTACATCTTCAGTTCCAAACGGCCCCCCAGCGACGGAGTAATAGATGATGGCCACCTTGACTGCAGAAATCAAGTGCAGACTTGTGAGCATTTCCTGTTGCAATGGCGGGGCAAGGCCGGGCATCGACAGTGAGCGCAACCTCGCCGGCTGCCTGACAAGGCTTCTCTAGCCAGAAACGAAGATACAAGCATGTGCAAACCCAGAGTCGAAGAGTACCAGCCGCAGAAGCTGGAAGCAGCATCCAAATTTAGATCTCACTCTAGCCGCGGTCACGCTTTGAGACTCTAGCCGCGGTCACGCTTTGAGAAACTTACTGTTGCTCTATATGACTCTATATAACTTCAACGCCATGTTCTGCAGCGAGCTCGCGAGCAGCCGCCGTGGCACGATGTTCGGGCTGCCATTTTTCTTCTCGAAGGAGGACCCGCATCTGTAAGTGTTGATATGACCCGGCCTGGTCATGGAGCACCATCGATCGTCGAGCATCAACAGTGAAACGCAGGCCTGCAGAAGGAGCTGAGTCTGATTCTCTCCAGGCAAAGAAGCAAGCTGCAACACATGTTTCATCCCGTGTTTGCCGAGCGTTAACAATGACAATGGAGAGGAAAGTCACGTGCCTAGTTGCCCGTCGCCACTCGGTGGACTGCACAATCTCACCGACGTCGATGTGAACACCATGGCCCAAGTTGGATGCCATGCGTCAATTTCCTCTCCTACATCCTGTGGACATGAGCATGACTGTAAGAGTTGCACCTATCGTCACTTATGCAGTGCAAGCACTGTATCGGAAAAGCTTTGTCGTGTAATGTTGAATGCACTGGAATCTGTGAGGCCCGCTTGTTCTTGCATTGAGCTGCGCTTGGGCTGTGGCAGGGTCTGCTTGTCGCCACTGCTTCTCATGTCTGTGAACGCTCAAACCCACTACAGTGTATAGGGTGCCGGGGTTCTCGGTTTTAGGGGACCTCGGCGGGACTGCTGGCTCGAGTGTGTGGAGATCGCCAACTCTTCCGATCTACTGATAAAAGCAGGGTAGCGGGACTTGCCTTCCATCCAACCGGGAATGGGAGAGCAAGGACTGACTCTCTCCGTCTCAGTCTTCTTACTGGCTCAGATCCCCGGCGAGCGCACACGTGCAGCTGCATGCGGCTGTGCAGCCGTGTTCAAAGCACCTTCCCCCTATCAAATGGGCTGAAGCGTCGGCACCTACCTGGAGCATCCTGGAGCAGACGATACCAAACGTTGCAGGCAGTGACAAAGCACGATGTAACCACTCAAGCAGAAGGCACCGCCAATACTGGGGAACCTCAAGGCTTAGGGAGCATCTGAAGCCCCCCGGCCACTAGGGGCCCCCAATGTTTGGGGACTCTTTCTTTCTTTCTGCCGGGCTTAGGGGTCGCTTGGGCGACCCTCAGGCCCTGGCCCTCCCGACCACCCATTGTTTTATTTGAAGGGGGCTCTCTCTCTCTCTCTCTCTCTTTCTTTCCCTAGGCCCACGGCGAACGGCTTGTGGCCTCTCTCTCGCCTCACTCTGCGGCTCTTCCAGCCTGCCCCTTCTCGTTCAGGCTCACCACGCCGCATGCAATCACTCCGAGCCTGACTCAAGGCCGCATGGGGCTCACTCGTCTTAGGTACTCAAGCTCTGGTGGATTGAAGAGCACAGTTGGATTGGGCACACGAACCTCTCGTCTCTCATCATCTTCTGCGGCAGACGAAATTCGCAAGGTCGGTTCTGTGTCGTTCAACGATGCCAGTCAGTTCATGGCCGGTGGAGGTCATCTGCTGCATGCACTCGACTTCGCAAAAAGCCTTCCGTCATTTATGTACACGGATAGCTGTGATTGCAGAAATCCTTCCCGTCGCTTCAGGCAATATATGGTTGTCCCGCAGGGCGGCAACCGAACTTTGGCCTGAAGGATGCGTCAGTGGTCAGACTGTGAAAGGGATGAAATGAATTCCAGGAGCCGGGTGCCATATGCTTGCTCATCCCATCGCAAGGCCTCCCTTCGGGCTGAAGCACCCAGCATTTCAAGCTCTGGATCTCTCAGGAGATTTGTTATTGCTGCCGCAGCCTCGTCCGACAATTCGTTCTCGTCCGGTGGCATGTCTACACAAAGTGAATGCGAGCCCACAAGTGCCCAGGCGCCCACGGATTCACCGGCCAAAACAGACGGCGCTGCACAGGCTGCCGCTTCAACAATTGTCATGCCGTATGCGTCATAGGCACATGGATGGAAGTTCAGAGCCGTTCGACCAAAAACGGCTGCCAAAGACTTCGGTGCGAGAAAAGTGTCAACTATAATTGCACCTGGCACCAGTCTTTTTAATTCGGCCTTGACTGCTGCAGCATAAGATTCGTCAGAGCTGGAGCCAGCCAACAGTGGGATAAGACCGAGCTCATGTAGGGTGTCCTTCGCCATCTGCAAGAAGCGCAAGAACCGGAAAACATTCTTCTCAGGCGAGATGCGAGCAACACAGGTGACAAGAAATCGTTGCTTCTTTGAACCCTCTGGACGTAAAGCGTCTTTGACTTCAGCCGGTAGAAACAAGTCGAGCTCCTCCTGTGCTTGGTGGGCAAGCTCGTGCATGTCACCTCTCAATGGTGGCAGAAGAAGCTCGAACTTACCCGCTGCAGAATCAGAGATCTTCATGAGGTTCAGTCTATCAAGTTGAGAAAGAACCACGATGAGAGAGGCCCTTTGCAGGGCCTGTCTTTCCATCTCGTCAAACCATTGCCTTCGCCGCTCGTCCAGCACTCCAGAACTGTACACACGAAAGTTCATGTAGACCAGAGGCTTGCCACTTGTGCTTGGGAGCGACTGACATGCGTGAGCTCCGGTCCAGTCGACGGCCACGACCGCATCGGCCGCATTTAAACTTCTTTCCAGAGAGCGCTGCCCGTCTTCGTCTATCTGGTCGAAGACGAAGCGACTCCAGGCTGAGTGGTCATCCAGCTTAAACCAGCCGTCGGACTTTGCAAGCTTCAGCGGAATGACAGTGAGGCTGTGAACCTCAAAGAGCTCCTCTGTCGTCAAATGGCTATTCTGACCCTGAAGTTCATCGCAGGGCTGGCAGCACAGCACGGTGACTTGGCAGCCCAGTCTTAGCAGCGCCTTGGCTATGGACCGCGCGAGGATGCCGTTGCCACTGAAGGGGCTGTAAGTGAATTCATAGGTCACGAGAACGAGACGCATGCCAGGCGTGCGACATGGCTCCATGGAGGAGATGAAGTTTGGTGCTGAGTTTGCTCGGGGATCAATGTCAATTGGCTGAGCAGGCTTTGAACAGCGAAAGTGCCTGCTTCTTTAATACTTAATTTTGCACATGCTGTTGTTCTGTGCCTGAACACTATTAAGTCCGATATGGCCCTTTGTGCTGACCGAAACAGATCGAGATGGCCGACTCGAAAGAGGCCGTGCCTGCTCCCATCACGCCATAGATCTCGCACTGGCCACACCATTCAAGCACACTTCGGCTCCTGTCACAGCGACGGGACAAAGGATGAAGCATGGCTTTGAAGTTCACTGCGCTTGCCTGCTTGTCCCTGGCGAAGGACTTAAGGCGCCATCCAGGTGGCACACAGCGATCGCTTCGAAGGACTCGCTGAGGCCGCTCGCATCCGGCATGGCTTGAGTTTTTCACCCTTGGAGTCATGCTGTGTTTTTTTAAAGATTTGCTGCCGGCCATCGCTTCGCCTTAAGAGTTGACGCAGCGGTGTTCAGGGAGAGGCCGCCACGCGAAATCGACGCAGTAGACGCGGCAGTGAAGCCTACCGAGCTAAACGCCGCTTCGAGAACAACTACCTCACGAAGGACGCAGATGGCGGAAGCGGGAGGCAGACCGGCTCGCAAGGGGAGGCAGGAGCAGGCAGGGCATTCGATGTAATTACCATCTTTGCAACCATTGGATACGAGGGGGCCCGGCCAAGGCAAAACAGGCTGAGCGTGGCTCCTCAGTTTCGCAAGAGACATATTGGGTCTCCACCGTCCTTCAGATCAGTACGACCGTCTTACTTGTACAATAGGTCTGCTAGCTGCTATCAAAAATCTCAGCTTCTCGGCATCCTTCATCTCAGGTTCCGGCAAGGGCGTAGCGAGTTCAGACGGATTTGACGCAGAGTCCCCCAGGCGACTCAAGCAGCGGAGGCATCGTCGCCTGTTGTCCGAGCTTTCCGGTGTGTGCCGTATGTGCTCAAAGCACCTAAACCTACTCGGACCAGCCTAAATGCATCTTTCCGCTGCCACGTCAAGGAGAATGTTGAACAAAAACAAGCTTCAGCAAAGAGGAGATTTGGGCGCAGGGCTGGACAAATCTGCCATGGGTTACCATAAATCCACTCTGGTCGGAGGCCTGGGGCGTCCTGGTCTGGTTCCCTGGGACCATGAATTGTATTGCACTTCCCTCCCAGGCCGCCCTTTTCGAGTTTTTGGTTCATGTTTGAGGGGTCCAGTAGCGGATCCGTTCGGGTGGCGAGTCAGGAGTTCTGGGATGTGCCACAGATACGGTCTCCGAACGCGTCCCCCCCCCCCCCCCCCCCCCNNCCCCCCCCCCCCCCGTCCCCCCCGTCTCGGCCCCGCCCCGCGACCGTCCCCAAGACTGCTCTGGCGCTAGCGGCTTAATTAAGGTCCGTCCAAACAAGCAGGTGAAGATCTCTGAGTTGTGGACATTGCTCGCTGGGCTGCGCGGCATCTGGGAAAAAGTCAAAACACGTACGGAAGTTTGTGCCGGCTGCGAACTGTCAAAGTGCTAAATCAGGCTCTGGACAGACTCCTCCGGCGCCGCGGAGGTTGCACCTTGCGCCACATCTGGGCTCTCGCGATTCACTGTAGTGCACAGGTCTGCATGGACGTGTGTGCTGTGGGACACACTGGAAGAGTATGCAAGAGACCATCTCGGACAATCTAAGGTTGGTGCCAGTGGAACCTCGTCGTTTGTCGCAATGTTCACCTTGACGGCACAGCATCTATGTGCGGTAGGATCCTTTCTGCCATTGAAATGCTTTAAACAGATGCAGCTTTGAGTGCGAGGGATGAGGAACCTCCTGTATCTCACACACGGGAAATGAAGCCGTGCCGTTACAGTGCTGCGAGCACCTGCATCCTGGGGCTTCAGCTTCGTCTCCACTGATGGTTCCTTCTGCCTCACCAATGCTGCTGCCGCTTCGCGTGCTGCAGGTGCTGGAGCTGAAAAACGCCTGCGCTCATCGGGTAAAGCTGCAAGTATGATACATCCGCAATCTAACACGCTGCAGGGCTTCGCAAGTTCAAGCCCTGTTGTTTCCTCACGCTGCTCCCCTCCGCTGTACCCGCTGCAGCCCTGTGATGACACACTGTTTCCACTCCTTGTCAAACGGTTGACATCGAAACCGCTGTTCAAGAAAGCATCAGCGGGAGCCCTTCTTTTTGGGCTTTTGGTGCTTCTCAACCAGGATTGCAAAAGAGAGCACGTCTCCCCAACAGCAAGAAGCAGCGGCATTTTCGTATCTTTACTGGTGGGGGTGATTCTTTCGTTTTGTTTTGGTGATCCGCAGAACGCAAGAACCTGCATCAGTAGGAACATGCTAGCTCGTCTGAGAGCCCTTGCTTTTGCTGACTACTTGACACGGGGCCGGTCTACTCCCCTAAACCAGCCGCCGTCCTTTACACAAACTGTAGGACTGTAGGTTCGATGTAGCTCAGAAGTGCACTTCTTGCCAAGTCGCAGCAAAAAGATCCGACAACTATTCGAAGCCCGCTTCGAGATCGAAGTGTGAGCTATCGCCACCAAGGTTTGTTGCACATAAGCGAAGGGGCACGTCAGACTCAGTTGAGATTCACGGAAAGGCTTGAAGTTGCAGAGAGTCGGAAACTACATCTTTGCTCCAATCCGAGGCTCTCGGACCCTGAACTGGCACGGTGCTGGATGGCAAGTTTGAGATAGTTTGAGACCCAAGCCTTGGGAAGCTTGACATCACAAGGTGGCAAATGCTGTGTGGTCACTAAGACTTGCAGGAAACAGTCCTTGACTTAGCCCTTTTGAGAACCCATCTGCAAAGCAGATAAACCTCCGGTGCCCATAAAACTCATCCCCAAGGCCTTCGACATGCTTCTGCTCGCTGCCGCCAGCATTGCCCTGAAGGGCGATGCTGCGCGTGTTCGGTGATGACTTAAGCACGACAGACACAGTCACGAAGAACTCGCTGAGTCTGAGATTGTCGCAGGGTGCCGGATTTGGATCGCCTCTTCCCTGGCACATCGAACCTAAGGCACCACGAAAGCCGGAAGGCTTCAGGACGAAATTCCAAGTGCTGCACCACCATCGCGGGCACCTCAAGGACACAGGCACGAGAACACAAGGCTGCCCTACATGGCCAGACTGGTCCTAGCCCTAGCTGGCCGTGGGAGACTGAGGCAGAACACCACGGAAGAATATGCTCCACCCACAACTCCAGCGGGACCAGCCCAAGGCCTCGGACTCTCTGCGCAATACCACAACAAACTCGCATCACTCAACGGCCGCCGGTTGCTCTGAGAAATTCGCTGGCTTGGTTTTGCATCAGGACCGCCGCCACTTGCCTGGTAGCAAGTCAAGGCTAGTGTCAAACATTATTAGTCTCTGTGTTCGCCGGAAAAAGGCTGCGCAAGACTAGGCGAAACGGAATATGTGAGATGGGCATTTGCAGATTACACGCATGCCGGTGCCTGAAGCTGCGAGGATATGCCCAATTCCTCTCCACGCTCCAAGGCTTTTGGCGCAAAGCGAAGGCAAAAGGCCTTGGCCGCTCATAGAGTATGTAGATAAGGCAGACGCTTATGGACCAGGTGATTTCTTCTGCGGCCAATTCTCTCGTGGTAGCAAGATGTGCAGGCAAGGCAGAAGCTTGACAGCTTCAAAGTCCGAGGCAGTCGCACGCCCGGCAGACCGACGACCTAACATCAGGATTGCAGGCAGCGATTCTTGTGTTTCACGGCGGACATAACCCGAGCCAGGAGAAATCGAGCATGATAAACCGCGACTTACTCCAGTGTTATTGAACATAGTGTCAGAACGTCTACTTTCGTTTTTGAGTGTATATTCTGACATTACGTTTGAGAGCAGAGGAAATATACTAGTGTTTGATCGAGCCTAGCTAAGAATTTGATTGGAATGACTGGTTCTGGGATTTGAGATTGTAGTAAGAACGTCCAACCGGGCACAAGTCCACATGGTCAGAGAACAGCCGCATCTCAACATTGGAGTGTGCGGATTTGAGATTGTAGTGATGCCCGTGCGGGATCTACAATGCTTATGTGCGTATATGGGCTGATGTATGGCAATGGTTCCCAATTTAGGCCATTCAGCAAGAGGTTTGGTCGTTGCTGCGAATCGTTGCAGTTGTTCAATTCAATGCTAAAGTGGTACTAACTAATGTGTCAGCCTCTGCAGGCACCAGCAGCGACATCAATATTTCTCAGTATCACTATCAGGGTTCCTGCCATGTCAGCGTCTCACGAAACACAGTGACCGTTTGGATTCTGATCCGTGCTGACAGGTTGACGCTGTTCAGCTGCCGCCTCAGGCGTGCCGATCTGGGACCGCTGCAGGGAGGACGCCGAGAGGAGCAGGAGCCTCTGCCCAAGCCGACGGAAGCAAGAAACGAAGCGCACTGCTCATTCTCTTCTGTCAGAAGAGCGGCCGGAAACCGCAACTTCCTCCCTAAAGCCCTCTCTAGGGGTGCAGAGCTCCAGCTGCTCTCTCCCCAATACGGCCCTAACAGCGCTGCTCTTTCACGGCTGAGGCTGGCACATCGTCACCTGTAGCTGCGCAGGACGATGACAATGTTTCACAAGATCCTGCACCGCCTCGCCCGCCGAGGTGCCGGCTTAGCTCTTGAGTAGCTGGAGGCCTCAGGATGCATCGAACATCATCGAACAAACCCACAGCGAGATGCGTTCGCTGCTCATTGATGATCATGTTTCCCATTTGCACTTGGCACCCAAACTCCACCAGTGAGGCGAAATGCACGGAGTTCAGCACCTCGATCTTGAAATGTGCCTGCAAAGGCTTGGGCGCCGCCGGGACAGCGCATCCCATTCCCCTCAATGCTCTGCCTCTGACTCCCGCACCACCCGTCGCAGCTGCTGGGAGTGGCCCGACTGGAAGGGGCCTTGATTCTGTGTCTGCTCTTGGCTGAAGCTGACAGCATCTTGCAGCTGGTTGGGCCCGTATGACTGTTGTGTCCAAGCGTGGCCTGGCGTGGCGGTGCTGTGAGTGCGCGGATTTCACATCCGAGAGCCATGCCTACCAGAACTCCACCAACCTGTGCGACAGGAGATTCTGTGAAGCCATCGGCATTCCGAACACGCAGCCTTGCGAACACGCAACATTGAGGTGTTCTGCACGAACATGCACGAACGAACAGAGCCCTATCCCCAATGAACTAGGTCCTTAGCTGCAATTTGTCTTCTGCACGAGCCATGCGGATCTGCTCTTTCAGCCTTTCCCCTGTGCCACTGTTTGGATCGGAGACTGCACGTTGTGCTGGAAGATGTCGCTATGCAAATCGGAGATACGGATCCTGCTCTCGACCGTCGCAACGCACCAAACCTTTGTTTTGCATTCCGGCAAGGAAACACTGCGCCAGCGCAAGAAGGCACGCGGCCAGACTGAACAACAGCGCAGACCCCAGACATGTGGGCAGGCTGGCCGATGATTTCTGTGAGTCCTTTCGACTGGTGCGAGGGGCAGTCCGATTCGGATGTCTGGACGTGAGGTTTTGTGCGAATAGGCTTTGATCGACTAGCTTGTCCCTCGAGCAAAACTTTTGACATCGCAAGCAGATTGCATGGTTCCAGACCTGAACCATCCTGAACAGGCAGGTGTGGAGCTTGAAGGACATTTATGTTTTTGGTCAGCGCAGTGTTGAAATTGGAATAATCCTGCCTTGTATAGGATCTATCCAGGCCACCGTGTTCGCAGTGGCACTCGAAAACAACATCCAGAACCAGACACGCAAAAAGGAGGGCAAAACGCATCAGCAGAAAAGAACGCCTGAGAAAAGGGAACACGTGGCGACGACATGCAATGCTTGCAAGAAGGGAGTCAGTGGGATGCCAAGGATCAGCAAGCATGTCCTGTTCCACAAAACACAGGATTTACGGATGCAGGATAACCACAGCCTTGCGTCATTGAGATTTCCAGGGCTTACAACAGCGAAAAACAATGAATAAGCATGCTTTTCAAGTCAATTATCGCCAATGTGTCTTGGACCAAGACGTTACCCGACCCAGATGCTAGGGCACAGTGTCGACTGCGTGGTCAGGTTGAATGGTTAATGCCCAAGATTTCTGCCTCCAGGAGGCTGTAGAGGTACTGCGCACCTCGGGGGCAACATGATCATGGCCAACAAATGTGCCTCCACTCCATACTGAGGCCACAGGCGAGGACAGGCGCAAGCTCCAATCTCAGGGTGCAAGCCCAGGAATTGCTTGGCGATTGTTGCTTTGGGCCATGTGGACTTTTTGCTTCTCGCGTCTTGTTCGCAGGCACAACCTCGGCCCGGACAGCGCGAGTCTCTTCGTGCGTCTGGCCGAGAGAAATCGACTTGAAGACTCTGGTGAAACCGTGCCCGAACTCACTTGAGCGGATCGCAATTTGTGAGCCTTGCTTCTGGCCCGATTGACCCGGCAATCAAACGGCCAAGCCGAGCTACAAGCATGGGGAGATGGCTGGTGTCGCTGGTGACCGAAGCATAACATCAGTAAGCATTTTCATTCCTGCCAAGACACGTGTAAGCGTCATCCATCATACAGAGGCCAACCTCTGCATTCCTCAGGGTGCGGCTGGACAATTGCAGAAAGTGTAACAATTAGACAAACCGTTGCCTTCCCCTAGCAAGAACTGCCGCTTGTTCCGACCAGTTAAGGGGCTGTCGATAATCTGCCAATGCTGTCATTTTCGGCTGGAGGGGTGGGCGGTTTGTTATCACAAGTGCCCGAGCGTAGGCTTTCCTGCCTGTTGTCCAGTACGTACACTTCGCTTGTGGATCCAGATCTCAGCTTACCTATGACCCGGCTCGATGAGGCACGTGCCGTTATGTTTGAGGGCTGAAACAACAGAACGCACAACTACAACATCCGAATCAAGAAGCTGACCTCGGCCATTCAAGACTTGATGCATACAATGACTCCATTACTCACTATAGCTTCTCTGTTCAAGTCTCCACCCGCAGGGCGCAGCGCTGAAGTTTGACGCCGTGGACCTTGAGGAAGCAGTATTGGCCAGAACATATAACACGTGCAACGTAGAATTGTCTGAGCGATCAAATTCCAAGCGGCAGCAGGAGTGCGATGAAATCCCGCCAAGTGTACCCATGCGAGATCATGCAAGTCTTAACCCACACAAGTCCCTTTGCACGGACAGCCCTCTACGCTGGCTTCCTTTCAATTTGTTCATTCAAGCAGGTTCTTGGAGTGAGGATATCTCGGCAATTCTGAGAGCTTGTGGTTTATGGCGCGGGGTCAAGCACTTGACAAGCTTGCGACCTAGTCCCAGCGCTCCTACAAGGCAGAGGTCTCGCCAGGAGGGTGCGAGGTGACTGTGTCCGTCGAAGGGCAGTTGAGGACAGGCTAGTCAGAAAGCGATGACGATGCAATGCCCGCTTCTACCAGTATCATGTCCATCAACATCCATGAAGATGCAAAGACACGCGGGACGGGGGCAAGATCGGCGGCCTGGAGTGGAGTGTCGAAGCTGATGATCCGAACCGGTGGGCGTCGCATCATGCCGTCGCCGTAAGGCACACTTTTCTGGTAGAGAGTGCGACAAGCGTCGACCAGTGCAACCCGAGACAGGAGGCGACTAAAAAAAGGGCAAGAAGGGACACACGACTCAACTCACAGCGAGGGATTTACAGGATCCTGTTCCATCCCGACTTCCGGAAGAACATGCATGAGTTCCTAGCATCAATTGCTGTGAAAGTGCTCCTACCAAAGTTTTCATGCTGATATGACTTCCGGATCCCTGCTGGCAGAAAGCTCCGATCGTAACAACAGGTCAGCAAGGAACGGCAAAATTACGATGGTCCGCGCCGAAAAGTGCAATTTCGGCAAAGATCGGCTGCAAGCAAAGTTGGCTTTGATTCATCATTGGGTTTCATGCGGCAAAACCCAGCAGCAATCTTCATCCTGCAGTGGCAGCAACAGTACCTCCAGTCATTTGAGGATTGTGCCAGTGGAAGACCCATGACTCGGGCTTTGAGATGGGTGCGGGCACCATCTTGTGTACAGCACAGGCGCAAGCTTGCCCAAGCACAACAGGCAAGCGGGCACCTCGGCTTGCTTCTGAGGTTCCTATATTTTCGTCGTGTCATCCTGGTATTCAGTGGCGGCCACCGCCGCCGGGTCAGGTGTTGCAATGAACTGGAAGTCACAATGCCGTGGACGCCAGCCACTCCTGCCAAGCGACAATCCGAACGCCTTACGCCACTTGCGCCTTTGTCCGCAGTTGGTAGTAGCGAATCACCGTGAAGACTGCTTGCAGCGATTCCCTGTTTTGTACCAACTGCCGATGATGACACCTTGTGGGGAGGAGCCACAGCAGTACGGAAGGCAGTGTGTCCTCTCTGGAGCTAGTCTCAGCTCCGCAAGCCTCTCTGCTTCGCTTCTGCTGGATACTCATAATTGCTCTTTCTCCGCGATTGCACCCCTGCCGCCTGCAGGACATGCCCCGCCTGGCTACCGTTTGCATGTTGAAAGATTTAAAATTGCGTGCTTAGCACGGTGAGCCCTGTCGCGTGGACACTTCTCAATCTCAAACCTGAATGTTGAACAGCGATTCGCATATCACCCCCAATTCGATCACCAAGCCACTCCAGCATGTCGCAGAGCACAACTTCGTGGCCAACGGCGTGCTGTATCATCAACACAGCGAAGAGAAATTTTTGGTTACGCATGCTTGCGCTTGTTGTCGAATTCTCTCTTCAGACTGCCTGCTGAGCACTTGCCCGAGCTGAGGCCAACGACTGGTTGAGCTCATGGACATCGTAAGACTTGTTGCATTTTGCCTGACTTGCGTTGCAGCATCACGAGCTCTCGCTTGCATTCCCTGCGGAAAACCCAGGTGCGGCCTCGTCAGTGACGTTATTGCAATAAATAACCTGCCAGTGTTGGAATACTCACTCTGACAGGTCAGAAAGATCCAGAGCAGCGAGAATTCTGTACGGCATGATGCGGTTTCCGAAATGCAACTCGCTCAAGGGGTGACGAACCTCCTCTTTGTTGTCCCGGAAGTCTGCACACATTAGTGACCTTGGCATTTAGACAAAATGCTGCCTGCTACCTTCTTGGGACTCCTGTCCCGGCCGATACCAAGTGTAGAAAGTGCAAGCCAACAAAAGGCAGTACGTCTTCCACCGGCCAGGTAGATATACGGGGCAAGAGGTGACGGCTTGCCTTCAGCAGCTACGCACATTCTACAAGTACCTGGCTATAGCTCCCGACTTGGTGCAGTCGCACTTCGTACACAGGTTCTAACGCATCCGTCGGCTGGCCGCTGGTCATATGCACGGGCTGGACTGGTTTGACATCACTGAACTGAAGAATCAAGAAATTCGCTTAGAGTTGGCCTGTGCATTCCCAGGCAACTGCAGGCACCTGATTTCCTGAAGGGACACTGTCGTCTTGTCTGTACAAATTGGCTCACAAAGCTGAAGTTGCTGTTCGAGGCTTTTCGGTTCGGGTCCTGCTAAGTCATGCTGGATATAGACCAAACCTTGCTATGCAACGACTCGATCCAGCACTCCTGCTTGGTTGAAAGCCTGGTCAGTGTGACTCAGGAGGTCATGCAGAGTGAAGAAGCAAGCTCTCCGTGTCAGGACCGACGCAAAGAATTCGCGTCTCGTCGCAAAGGCACTGCTTAATGCCGGAATTGTTCCAGCACAGGATTCGCCGAGATACCAGCAATTCCGCAGCAGGGAGCCCATGCAATCCTAGACTAACTGTTCGATCTGATACCTGCCAGCATTGCAGCAAATATCAGCAAAGTTATCGCCAGCAGAGACATCCTGCGAAGATCGCACTCCAGGTTCGACTTGGAACGGTCTCCGAATCTGAACTCAATGTGACATGCCCTGACATGCTGTTCGCTGAACCCTGTCAAATTTTGCGAACCTTGAGGATTTCAGACGGGAACAGCTTGGCCGTTCACGCAGAACAGATCTCTTGAGGCCTGTGCAAACCAACGCCGAGGCGAAATTCGAAGGAGATCCGACGGAACTCATGATTGTCTCTGCTCCCTGTGGAGTCTCTTTCAGTTGCGTGCTTTGTGTGAAATCTTACGGTATCTCTTAATGCAGTGATTCAGGGATAACTTGCTGGGCGTACCTGTTTCGGGTATGTACAGATCAATACCTGCCCTTTCGGCGCCGCCCACTCAGCCAGTACGGTGCGCACGGCAGGGCCGCGAGAGTTACAGTGCTGGTGACCGCTTGAGTCAAGGCGGCGGAAGGTGATCCTCCTGACAGTCAGCTGCAGTCTGCTAGTCGGCGGTGATTTTCGAAACATGGGAATGGCAGAACTGCGACTTCCCGACTCAGGGCTCTTACAGCATAATTGATTTGTATGTCCCACTCCTCCAACGGAAGCTCCATCGAGTTCAAGTCCGCCTGCACCGGAGACACGCAGGACGTTGTGGCACATGCTTGCAAATGCGATGGAAACCATGCCCGACTGGAGTAAGTCGATTCAGACTGGAATGACTTGCCCGACGGGTGTTGTGACTGTTAGCGCGACGTAGTTGAACCGACGAATCCAAATGTGGTTGCATAGCTGCCCAGCTAGTGGAACCATCCCGAATGAAACTTAGAGTTGCCGGTGCATTCAATTGCTTCGGGTGCGGGCTAATGCAATAACCATGAGACACCATGTTGCAAGCCTCGTTTGGATAAAGCAAAACATGCAAGGCAAGACTGTGCTGCCAGTCGACTGCACGCACCGAGGATCCCGAGACAGCATGATGAGGTGAGCATCTTCCAACGCCGCGTGTTTACGGATTTGGTCTTCGGAGGCCTTTGTCGCCAGAAGTTCGGCGTTCAGCTCGCCACGCACACCCTGCAGGATTCGATCTGAATGTCGCCGGCGCTCCTCCCGGGAGTCAAATCACATTCACCCCTTGCCACAACCGACCAAAGTCTCATCAGAGTCTAATCTTTTCTATCAGCATCGGCCTCTGCACTGCACTTAGCTTAGCGGCTTAGCACAAGCTGCTTTCAGGGGCCCGCAGCCCGCATGGCGAAACCAGCGATTGCTGCTCCTCCATCGAATTTCCAGAGAAGCCTCAGGTGCAGCCAGCACCCAGATCCGTTAGTTACTGCCCTGGAGCTCTACGCCCATGCTCTTCGCCGGGAGGATGCGGCAACTGCAGAATGTTCAACTGCAGTTCGCATCAGGTTGAGCTCTACTTTGC